GAAACCCACAGATTAAATCTTTTTTTCTTATGTTTCTTTGATTTCCCCCACTCCCTGCTACCACATTCTTAATAAAAGTTAAACTGACCTGATAGATAATGAAATTAAAAGCTTGTAGAAAAAGAAATTTCCTAAGCCTTATATACTTCTAACTTCCAAAATCATATATTTATTATGTATGTGCATGTAGATACATACACATAGGTAGGCAGATACATTTCTGTGGCCTGGCCTTCTGTCAGTTGTGGAGAACATTAATGACCAGCAACAGTACCCCAGGGATTAGTCAGTGAATTTTCTGTAAGGACCTGAGAGGAGAGGCAACATAGAGGTATCTGAATCAGAAGGCTTTTCAGAACTGAGGAGGAAAGACAGAGAAAGTGGCCTTGTGCCTCTGGTCTGCATCAGAGCCCACAGCCACCCCTGCTGACATGGCTCCTGTTAGATGACTCTCATTCTGGGTGATCTAACTAGCTCCATCCTCATGTTTACCTAAACATGACCCTTACATCTTGTGATTTAGGCTGATTTTATTTTAATGTAGTCCAAACACAGTAATTTAGTTCTAGACTTGTCTTGAGAAGATTCCATATTGAAGAGCCAGGTCCAGGTGCCAGGAAGAAAGTAAGATAGCTTACAGCAGTAGTGCAAGACATTTCATGTATTTTAGGCCGAGGTCTGCATGCAGTAAATGGCTCAGAAATACCTGTTGAGATGGTGGCTGTGATATTTAAAATCCTGTCCATACAGGGACCCTGTGGAAAAAGGGCGGGTAACAAAGTGGCAAAGTCAACACTTGCTTATTTGGGGGGCAACTTCTGGTCTTTTGTGAGAGATCAGCCATTGTAGATGATAACTGTCCTTCAGCCCAAATTGGTATATTAGTAAGTTTTTAAAGAAAATCAGGTTTCTGAAAACAGAATGCTACCTAAATTAACTCAGCATGATCTCTTTGGCTCTAAGGAGCTCCTGCTCTTAACTGTTTTTCACAGGTAGTTTGCATTGGGTCAATGGCAGAACTTGAAGAACTGTCGGGAGCAAAAATCTCAGATCTCCACAGAGAGAGGTCAGCATCTGAATGTTTGACTCATTTCAGTCCTGTATCCTGATAAAACTATCACTAGCAAATTATAGGTCTTCACTTGGAAAGCACTTGTTGACAAGCCATGGTCATTGTGGGGATGTTTCCTTCCTCCTTATTTGAAATGTCAGATGACTTTGGTGCATGACCTTTGAGATTAAGGAATACTCCTGGTGCTCTCAGCCTTTGAGAATGACCGATCTGCTTTGCAAAAGCATATGCATCATTTAAACCATGAATATATTCTGAGAAGTGCATCATTAAACAATTTCGACATTGAATAAACATTCTGGATTGTGCTTGCACAAATGTAGATGGTATCGGTAAGTTCATCACTCTGTGACCTGTTAGTACATCAAGATGCAGACAGGAGATGTAGATGGATGCTGGTGGCATAACATAGCATCCCATCTTATAATAAGAGTAGGAACACACTCCAAATCACTATAGTAGGAGCCAGGCATGGCAACAATAATCCTAGCAATCAGGAGGCACAGGCAGGGGCATTCTCAGCTGCACAGCAAGGTTGAGGCCAGCCTGAACTTGAGGCTCTGTCTCAAAAAACTAGAAAGAAAAAGCATAGTAACTAATTATAGTCATTTATTGTCGTGATTACTATGAGATGTGCATAATTGTTTTGTGCTGTACCTTTGCATCTTGGAGCACAGTATGTTTGTGTGCTTCCCATCACCACAAGCACAATAAAGGATTATGCCACATTACAACCACTGCAGTGTCACTAATTAGGAATTTTCCAGCTCAGTTGTAATATTTTCTGATTACTACTATGTGCGCAATTCTTCATTTACCAAAGTGTTGTGTGATATCTATGATGTCTTGTCAGAGCTCTGTTTCCTATTGGCATTTAAACTGCAAGTTCTATTAATGCTTGCAATGAACAGAAGTGACAACTTTTCTTTTTGTCAGCATTGACCACCTGACCATCCCATCACGCTGTGGGAAAGGACCACTGCGGCGCATCTCTGAAGTGTTTGACTGCTGGTTCGAGAGTGGCAGCATATTTTTTTGTACTGAGCAAGTGTTTTATTGAGTGCCTACCATGTATCTGCTATGTGCTGGGGTTGTGACAAGCAACACTGACTTTTCTGCCCTCTGCCTGCCCCTCTTGGCCTGAATGTCAGCATGTCTTATGTCTTTGAATCTTTGCTACAGTAATACTGTAATGCTATAATTTGTATTTCACATTGTTCAGTATATCTATATGTGAAACTGGAAGCGAAACAGTTAATGCATATTCTTTTATTTATTTCAAATCATTTACTCAGATGTTTAAATGATGATAAGACAATAGGTGGATGATAGAAATTGGGAGGTAGTTGGAAATACTTTCAGAAGCTGAGCTCAGCTTTATAGAAACATTCTTAAAAGAATCCAGA